CATATGACGAAGAATAATGGATTCAGTTACGAATTCAATCCGAATACACTGACTGTCGAGTGTTTGGTGTTTGATGTGTTGTATCAACAGTAATAAGAAGTTGGTTGTGGTGTTAACAGCACTAATTAAATCAAAGATAATCAACTGTATGTGTTGTTCCATCTCATTTGTATTCCATTATTAAATATTTTAGATTGAATTAATTTGAATCATATGACAGATGTACGCAAAACACGATGAGCTCTCATTTTCACACACGAGTTGTCAATCGGAACCGTGGTAGATCACTGTGTGAAATCCTTTCAATTCCAATCGCCTAACGACCGTGCGTGAAAATTCAGCACAGTTAATGTGGATGATTTAAACAGCATGTACCCTGCATTCAGAATGGAATATGTCGACGACGGCGTGTTCTGCAATTTACAGAGTTATACGCGTTTTAATATCAAAAGCGGAGAGATTTTGATAGACGTATATCGACCGGAAGCACTTTTATCATTTTATATCGGGAGAGTGCTGAAAGTCGCTCATCCTTAGTCTCTTCTGATCGATATTGAATGTGCCAAAGTGTAAGGTTCTATCTGTACGATACAAAGGGGCGATTTTCGTATTTTCTCGGAAATGAACAACTGCCACATGCTTCAAGTGAGAAGGACTTGGGCATCATCATTCAAAGAAACTAAAGCTGCTCACTCAACCGCGCCAAGGTGTCGAACGCAGCTGTGAAGAATGTTGGTTTGCTTAAGCGGGTCTTTGGCCGGTTTGAGTCAGCGCTTTTCACAGTCTACTATCAGCATACATTCGCCCACTCACAGAGTACGCCATCCAGGTATGGAATCCATGGCTACAACGTGAATGCGAAATGCTGGAGCTTCCATAAAGGATGGCCATCAAATGGTTAGGGGGTTGAATCGTTATTCATCAGCAGAGGGACTGAATTCGCTAGGGTTATATTCCAATGAATATCGGCGCATCAGAGGAGATATGATTACGGTATACCAAATAATGTGAAACCCAAGACATCCGTGTCGCCCGCTGCTAATATTATCATCCAATGATCATCTTACAGGACATCCGTTCAAACTAGTGGTCTCAAAATGTCGATTGGAATACCGGCGTCAGTCTTTTGCAGTCAGAGTGTGTTCGATCTGGAACTCTCTCCTACCCCACGTCGTCTGTGCACAAAACATTGAATCTTTCAAACTGAGACTTGATGAAACATTAGCTTACCTTACATTCCAACATAAATGAAGTTGCGTGCAATAGTGGACGAATTCCGTATAATGTGACATTTTACACAAGGAATTGTATATATCACTTTTTTTAACCACAACACGAACCTATGGGACGCGAAAAGCATGAGCTTGTAAGTTATTCCCATAATAAATCTTTGATCTTTGATATCATCTTTAAGTGAACTGCTTATTACCAATTCTCCATTGTCCCAAAATTTAGAAGTGGGCAAAATAAACTCCCGTGTGTTGTTCAGCTTACCATCAAAAATGCATAGTTCGAACAACCAGTTTCGGTTTTCATTCGGTTTTGTACTATCTATCTAAAGGTGTTCTATCGACATGGTGTTGAACACCCAGTAATAGTTAGGATTGGTTCACATTCCGTGAATGGAATAATCCAAGAAGTGGCATATTTCGAAACTGTATTATTTCATTGTCGTTGCACAGTTATGGATGCAGCAATACCCCTCGACACCCAAAATAATCATGTTCTGTACAGGCCAAATTCAAAATCCTACTTTTACTACTATCAGTAGTTGAACGTTACACCTAATTATTGCTAACTGCCTTGTGGTTGAGCCTATCTACCGTGAACATGTACAAATGCACACATCCTCCTTTAGATCCGTGCCCGCACGCAAGCATCTACTGTGTGCTGACTATAACACAGACGGTATGGAATTGTCCCGGTTACAGTTGAGTGAGCCAAGCTAACACAGTTAACTAATCCTAAACGGGTATCACCGTTGCAGAATAACAAGGGTTCCCTTCGGGTTATAGACTAAAATCACAAAAGTTCACTTTGTTGCTTTTAGTGCTCATAAGCACAGACGCATGGACATCTCTACAGAATTTCCAAGGAAATCAGGTATATATATATATACCGATCCATCACATACGTTATATATGTATGTCTAATGTTTGTAATGGATTCGTATGGAGGGTGCAACGAAAAAGTTGAGAACGAACGGAGGGAAATGTGAAGGAAGACAGAAGCACTGTGGGAGAAAACATGCGGTGGTGAGATAGGGCACTGAATTTCTGATAGTATGTTTTTAGCACAAGTCTTCCGTTGAGGAGCCATCAGATAACAGCTTAACATTCAAGTGTAGTCAGGGTTGAACAACATAAAGTTGACAGAATATAGTAAGGCTTGTCAACGGTCAACAAAGCTCTTATACTAAGCAGGGTTAGCTCTCATTTACAACAGGAACGCGCTCAATGTTATTATACTCTAATTATATTTAGTCTCTAAACAGCTAGTTATCAACAATATTCACGGGAAGAAGCACTTATTTGGTTGTTTGTTCCGAGAATACGCACATTTGTCACTTCTACCTAAAGGATGATTGTGTTCGTTTCATGACCAGATCTAATTCGTTCATTACAAAAACCTGCCAACTCCGATAACAGTGAATTCATGTCCCGTAATAAAATCAAATAATAATACAGCTTAGAGAAAAGTTCAAAATAGTAAGATGGGCGGAGGTTGCAGAATTCGCATTAATCTTGTCCACCTCCATCAAGACAGCAGTTAGAAAGAACTTGCGCACTCAGATATCTTATGAAACCAATGAAATAAAATGGGTTCAAGGATAGAAGCACATTTATCCAGGGAACGAAAGCATACACAGCCTAATAAGCGGGTTCCATTTGGTTCATACCTCCGCTGATTATAAGTAGGATTTTATCTGGACACCGAAAACCCTCAGGGTAATTCAGAATTGACGGAAGTACAAGAACATAGCTTAATGGCTAGCAGTACTTTGCACATAGCGGCATTTCATTGAGCTTTATTATGGAAGCTCCCATTGAATGGTTTGTGCCAAAATATAGCTTTTCGATTTTGGGAATGCAGTCAAACGTTCAAAGTAACAACTATCAATAAATCCAAATATCTGTCACGAGGAGATTAAATCTAAAATATTGTCCCCGGATAATCAGTTTGATACAATGCGGATTCGCTAAGGTGCACCAAATCCGTTTGATCATTTAGCTAAATGGCATGATGAAAAGATGTGTACATTGGTTGCACGATTGATCGGATGATTGGTGTCCTGCATTCAGGTCACCCCCTAAAGCATTTTGTAAATTTCTCGCATTGTTTTCGTCACATACTGATCTAAAGGAGTTCCGATTCCGAAAGGAATGCTTAAAAAAGCGAATCTCTGTTCGATGATCCGAAAACCTATGGTCATCCCTCTATGTCCAACAAGTGAGCAAACGATCAGTTTCATCAGTTCACGAAGATTTTCATGGTTTTGGAATAGCTTAACACTAGAATCAGTAATGAAATGTGATAGATACCAATCATTTGGCAATGACCGCTTCACATACACATCTGTTACGCTGGGGTCCAAAAATACAAAATAATTGGCTGTATGAGTTAAGGTATTATAAAATCAGTAGATACCTATCGCGGATACACCCTCTATTGATAACCAACTAAATCAAACCACATTCAAGCAAGTAATCACATCAGGAGATGCATCGTGAGACAAGACAAAAATGTGTAGCATCTTTGTGTTGAGTTGATTTCATTGTTATCATCATTATCATCATCCTATAGCAAAACCCAGCGAAGTGAACTTCACTGATTGTTGCCAAGTTCGTAATGTATGCAAGATTAGTATGAATATGTAAGATGGACAAAGACTGGGCCTAGTTTTCAGGGTGGGAGAAAGAAATTGGTCGTCGATGGTCAGCACACAGAATTTAAAATGTAACTGTGCATATAGAAGTTTTCGAGTTGTTTTTCTGATAAGAAATGACAACAAGAACGTCGCTATTGTCGGTTGCAGAGTCTTTTGGACCCTACCCTGAGTGGTGGGAGACGACTACTTTACCCAATAACTGCAGTTATTTCTTCATGCTTCGTCTTCACGTCATTTGTTGACCTCCACTTTGTTTCCTCTAACCCGCAGTAAGTACAGCGAATAAAGAGAGGTGCGGCAGAAGACAGCTGGGCATAAGCAATACGCTACCTAACCAGCAAAGCGTATTAATCTGAATTCAGTGCCCTAGAAAATATGTCCCCGATAAAGTCCCAAACACACGACGGCTTACCTCTAGATTAGTCACCCGTTCGCTCAACTCCGTGTGGGTCTAAATTCGTGAGTACCGATAGCTGAAAGTTCAAGTCAATGGTTATCTAATGCTCACAAGTCCAGGGTCTCACAACTGTAAAGCGTAACTGAACGAATGGTAACACAATATACATAATCTTACAACTTCAGTGACATGTTACGTCTATGACAAAGGTGGTTCAATCGTCTCGTTGTTGTGGATGCCGTTTTCACAACAGGTTCATGTGTGAGTTCAGTCATTGAGATATAATTTCTCCTCCCTTCTGATTAATTTGAATGTCCAATAATGCACTTCGGTCAATACCAACCGATAATAGTGAAAGGAATCAGTCAACACCCAAATTGTGTTATAAACTAATGCAGTATACTTTGTCGTATGCATTCTTGTGAATTGTCTGTACGTGAGTCCGTGAGGTACATCAAGTGGTGGGATAATACTCAAGGTTATCGTCATGCGAACCTGGAGGTCTTGGTTTCGAATCACTTCATCACTGCCGATCTTTCCCATTCCTGTATTTCCTTAGGCATCCTTATATATCCGGAGTCACTCTTCCGGAAACTTAACTATACATTTATATAATAAATAGCCAAAAAAGGAAGTAAATAATCTACAAAACTACAATAATTGTTATATGTTTATGCAAAGTAATCAGTTTTCTTCTTCCGTATTCTCTTCTAGGTTGTTACATCGTTGGCTGTGGATCAGGGTTATGTTCCAGAAGGTGTGGTTCCAGCCAAAGAACCAGTGGGTTACTTTCATTTGGCTCAAACATTCTTCTTTCCTCAAATTCGACCCAAACTGCTGCATCAGATCCCAATTTGGCCAATCATTGTCGGTGTAGTTCTTGGCATTATCTTTTTAGCCTTGATTGTCATATTGCTCTATGTATTAGGCTTCTTCAAACGGAAGAAACCCGGTCTTCGTCAAGCAAGCTATAGCAAGGGCGGGGCAGACGAACTTGAACGACGTGCCCAAGAAATGCAAGAAAAACCAAAGAAATTTGCTGGATTCGAAGAAGACACGTCTAAAGTGGACAAATATGAACGAGGTACGAAACGCAAAATGAAGGGTAAGCATCGTGGTGAAATAAAAATACTACATCCCGCCGATCTGGCTGCCGGTCAAGATGCGGAAGACAATCAACGTGAACAACTGCTGGGAGGAGATGAAACAAAAGACAAGACTGAAGAAGCAACTTAAATATCATAAATCCATTAGCCCCTGTGTGCTTCAAATGTGGCTTCCTAAATTGGAATTTCGAGAGCACCATAGCATGTGTCATGACCATAGGAGTTTGAACACGCTAAATGGGTTTGCACTTCGCTGAATGCCGTCCATTACCACCGTACAAAATGGTATATATGAGATCCACCAGTAAGCTTGTTTTTGCTCTCCTTCCTTCACCACCCCTCGTCACACAAAAAACCAGACAATTCTCTACCCATTAGTAGTATATTATTACAATTTTTCTGTCTTGTGTGAATTTCAATTACGGTTCCAAAAGATTTTGATTTGCTGTCAATTTTGTTTTATGCGCCATAAATCCAACAACTTGTAACGACATACCCAACCTGGAACTAATATGAAACGAATTCAAAACTTGCTGGTACTTACCTCACCAAAACAAATTTTATCACGTCCGTTCCGATCCTATCGGTCTACTGGTCAACTGGTTCACCGATCCGATCACACACATCTCAATTTTACAGACAAGCTGAGGCTCCTTCACCTCTCCGGCCCATCCCATCCCACCCCACCTCCCTCCTCATCACCATGTATTTATACTGCTTGCTATGTGGGGAAGGCAGTACTATCACCAATACTACTATTATTATTTTTTGTTACCCAAACCTATTGGCCTTTCATCAGCTGATCCTATTTTCCTAACCCAGCTATTTGTGCTTTCTTCAAGTAAAATACAGTCGCTTTCTCGTGCCTGTGTGTGTGTGTGTGTGCATGCAAGCGCGCTGTCGCACGAATGAGTGAGTAGACTTGTTGTATAAATGTACGACAGCTTGTGCTAATGCTAACGCACACTGGCTCACGCACACACATGCATGGCTCTATAATGTAAACTGCTTCGATTTCATGGAACAGAGAAACTAGTGCACTTATATCACTACTATTACAAACATCCCCACACAGAGGGGCGCTGAATCCCCCCCCCCCC